TTGATTACTTATATATTAAAAAATTTTCTAAACTTTGAATTAAAACGTTAAATGTCGTTAAGTTTTATAAAAATAAAAAATTATTCAAAGAATTATTAATAAAAATTTTCATTTACTTATCAAAAAAAAGAAAAGCCACTAGCGGTAACGGAATGGAGTTTTGTTAATTTCGATAGCTCCGAAATATATTGATTCTAATGTAAAAAGATAAAATTTTATTAACAAACAATCAATAGTATTTGCTATATTTTATTTAAATAAAGGAATATTTTATAAATTAATAATAATATTTATCATTTACTAATAAAAATTTAGAATTTACTGCGGTAACGGAATGGAGTTTTCAATGGCGCACAAAACTAATTTAATTCTAGAAAATAGAATTTGAAATATTTTGCCTTACCTTTTCCGGATTTAAGTAAAATAAAGAATAATTAATAAATATTACTAAACAAGAGATGAAATTAGATTTTAAATGAGAAGTAATATTCATTCTTTGAGTAAAATTAGCTTCATGCACGGTAACGGAATGGAGTTTTTGCACCATATGAATATGGATATTTCAGATAATATAAAATTTTTATTTTTTTTCTCATATGACTTGATTAAATCGTGTTAAATAGTATCATATGGCGGCCATTATTTTTATTAATTTTAAATATTTTTTAGAAAAATGTCTTGAACGTGTCATTTGTCCTTTTTGAGAGATTCACCCTTAAGCTTTGCTTATTGAAATTCTATGAAATTTATTTTAAAAACTGACCAATTTTATTTTCACTTACTAGAAATTTAATTTAAACTACAGTTGGTTAAACTTTATTGAAAAGCGCATGTGTAACCATTTTACTCAACTTTTGACTAAAGCTTATACAAAATATTTTCTCAGTGTAACTATCCTTGGCCCGTGGGGAAAAAGGAGCCCATATTTCAATTTTTCCTAATTTTTTGTGAAACGACGTGAATTTAATTGAAAATAAATACGATATTCGTGTTCAGCAGGAAATTTCACTCCGGAAAACTAGTAAAGAAAATAATATGATAAAACGTGACAAAGATTCAGTTGACATTTTTCAAAAACAGGTGTTTTTTAAAAATAAAGTTCTAACTTCGCAAATGGTGTCAGATTGACTTCCAATTTTTACTATCACCTTTTGGTGTTAAGACGTGAAAATATCATGAATGAGGCGCTAATTTGAACAAGCCGTTTAAGCAATACAGCCACTAACTATCATTGCCCTATCCTCCCCTAGTATAGAATATATACATTTAAATTAAAGAAAAATTTAACATCTAAACAAAGTAACAATATAATAATTATTAATTTAATATATGAATTTTTATACAAATAAAACAATTGTTATATATATATATATATATATATATATATATATATATATAGCTTAATTCCTAGGCAATAAGCTTACTACCGGCAATTAGACGAATACACGACAAAATCGTTCAGATTTGTCTATTTGCCTAGGCAGTAAGCTTAATGCCCGGCAGTAAGCTTATTTCCCGATGAAGATTCGGCAATTAGACGAATCACATTAGAATCCATTTGCAGTGCACAAACGTCCTATAAAAAATTAATTAAAAACAATAATAATGATAATAATAATAATAATGATAATAATATTCCTTGACTCATATAAATAATTCTCGACTAAAATAAATATTGCTTGAGTCAAATAAACATTTCTTAACTGAAATAAATCATTCTGGACAGAATTAAATATTTCTTGGGTAAAAAAAATATTTCTTGAGTCTAATAAACATTTCTTGGATCAATTAAATAATTCTGGACAGAATTAAATATTTTTTGAGTAAAAAAATATTTCCTGAGTCAAATAAATAATTTATATTTTCCTAAGAAATATTTTTTTTCATCCAAGAATTATTTCTTTTTGAGTCAAAAAATATTTATTAGACTCAAGAAATATTTCTCAATGATAACAAATATTTATAAGAGTCAAGAAGCATTTATTTGAGTCAAGAAATATTTATTTAAATCAAACAATCTCTATTTGACTCAATAAATATTTATTTCACTAAAGGAATATTTTAGTTAAAAATTGTTTGATAGACTTAAACAAAATTTATTTTAGTCGAGAAATATTTTTCTTTATGCAAAAGTAAAAAAATTATTTATTTGACTCAGGAGATATTTTTTTTACTCAAGAAATATTTAATTCTGTCCAGAATTATTTAATTGATCCAAGAAATGTTTATTAGACTCAAGAAATATTTTTTTTACCCAAGAAATATTTAATTCTGTCCAGAATGATTTATTATTATTATTATTATTATTATTATTATTATTATTATTATTATTATCATTATTATTGTTTTTAATTAATTTTTTATAGGACGTTTGTGCACTGCAAATGGATTCTAATGTGATTCGTCTATTTGCCGAATCTTCATCGGGAAATAAGCTTACTGCCGGGCATTAAGCTTACTGCCTAGGCAAATAGACAAATCTGAACGATTTCGTCGTGTATTCGTCTAATTGCCTGAAGTAAGCTTATTGCCTAGGAATTAAGCTTAATGCCGGATTCTTCTAGTTGCCTACGACATATATACTCTACACACAAAGACATGTTGTATTATAATTATGTTAGACACCATTTATATGTATAAATATCACAATAGCTGTATCAAATTCGAATCACATACTTCTTCTCATAAAACAACTTTTCTTCATAATGTATATTATATAAGAGAGATAATTCCAATTCTAAATAACTCTATAATATGCTTTCACGGTACATAATTTTATAGATATATTTTACATTTATAAACTATAATTAAATAATTTATTTTTAGTTAATTATATTCCTGCAAAGCACCTATAATTTATAAGTAGTATTACGGCAACATTGCCTGGAATGTTTCATACATTTGATTCAATTAATAAAAGAAAATTTTTTTTAATTAAATTAAAGTATTGCCAAAATTTTATTATTGTTATTGATAAATTATTAATTAATTAATAATTGAAGACCTCTACAAAATAACAATATGTGGCACATTTTAACATAAATTCAATTTACCATAATAATCTGGTAATTCATTTATTCTGTCCGCAGTTTGAAGTTAGTTGTCGTGTATGCTTTTGTTAGAAAATTAAAAAATTAAAAAAAAATATGATTAGCAAATAAAAAATATACACATTTTGTTTATTATATGCTTTTTTATATAACAAATTTCATTTGACTGAACTGAATTAAGAGGAGATTACTACCCGACTGGTATTATCCCTTTTCACTTCGCGCTCGTCCCCTTATTCTAAGGAGTACATTAATTATGCTAACTTTTTTTCTTTCTATTTACAGTGAGTTCTCGCGAGTCGTTCAATTCTCGAAAATTTTCAAGACCATAAAACTCACGAGTCATCAGCCACGCCTCCAAGGCGATTGAATTCTTCTGGAAAATTTTATTAAAATAGTAGATATTGAAAATCATTGATTTGAGAAAATTTTTTAAAAATAATTAAAATTTTGCCAAGAATTTTATTATATTATACTTTTGAAAATAATTGAATTTCTGCAATCATTTTTAAATATTATTAAAAAATATACCTAAACGAATGAAATATTAAAATTGAATGTATAGAGTATGAAATTTATTAATTTTTTATTATTATACTTTACTGAAATAAATATTTAAGACAAATCAAAATTGAAAATCGGAAACATTTCTAATTGTGCCAAAGATCATTATTATTCCGTGGACGTCTTCAATTATTGATAATATATATATATATATATACAGTACCGTCCGAAATTGTCAGTCCACCCATTTTCAAAGGAATGACAAAAATTTTTTAACATAAAATTCATAAAAAGTAAAATTTTTTTTGGTTTATATTTTAAAAGACAATAAAATTTTGAAAAGAATAAGACCTTACAGAAGTCATTTGGCCAAAATTTGTAGAAGATATTCTTAAAAATCGTCATTTTCAATGTTTTACAAAAATTTGAATAACTTCTAAAATAATGGACGCTTTTTAATAATCTTAGGCTTATTTTAAAGACCATTTTCTACAGAATAAGAATTACTTATAGGCATTAACCTGTAATTTTTAACTTGGAATAAGCATGACGTCAAAGTTGGACAAAAAAATTCAAAAAATTTGAAATAATATTATTAAAAGAAAAATAATTTTTGAAACTCAAACATATATTTTTATTAAATTTTCTTGAAAAATCTACACCATATCATGTTTTATATATGTTCTAGAATAGTTTTTAGTACAAAAAATTGATTTCAAATTTTTCCAACTTTTTTGTCTAATTTTGACGTCATGCTTATTCCAAGTTAAAAATGACAGGTTAATGCCTATAAGTAATTCTTATTCCGTAGAAAAAGACCTTTAAAATAAGCCTAAGATTATTAAAAAGCGTTCATTATTTTAGAAGTTATTTAAATTTTTGTAAAACATGGAAAATGACGATTTTTAGGAATATCTTCTACAAATTTTGGCCAAATGACTTCTGTAAGGTCTTATTCTTTTCAAAATTTTATCGTCTTTTAAAATATAAACCAAAAAAAATTTTAGTTTTCATGAATTTTATGATAAAAAATTTTTGTCATTCCTTTAAAAATGGGTGGACTGACAATTGCGGACGGTACTGTATATAGAAGGAGTTTACACCGTAAGCCTTAAATATAAGCCTCCGCGAGCATAAACGGATATGCCTCCATGAGGATATACTTGCGTCTGCGCAAAGTGTTAGCCTGCAGCTGTGTTGTGAAAGAGTTTGCCTTGACCACGTGTTCGCGCAGGCGCAAATATATGCTCCTGGAGGTATATCCGTTTATGCGCGCGGAGGCTTATATTTAAGGCTTACGGTGTAAACTCCTTCATATATATATATATTTTACAGTGTAGAAGAACATTGAAGAAATAATGGCAATGTTGAGAATATAAGGAGCAATTGCAGGTGCTGTCTTCTTGTAACAATATTTAAATATTACACACAGATGTTGAATATAATTTAGACAACTAAAGATGTTATGGATCGAGCAGTTGATAAAGTTAAAGGTCCTATTTCTGAAATTGATCTACTGCGATCGATTGTTTGTAAATTTGTTGACTGTTGCTTCATTAAAATATGTCGTAATGATTGAGTTTCTTCACGTAAGGATACAATTTGTGCTCGAAGGATTGCATTTTCATGTTCTAACATTGTTGCCTTTAGAGCTATCTGCAAATAAAATGTATATCAAATTTCTGTTTATAAATTTTTGTACATTTATTTTAATGTATATGGTTCTTTTCATTTAAATTGTTAGATTCAGTCTACACAAACAATACAATATATACTTTATATACACCAATCGATCCGTCTTGATGCAAAGAATAAGATTTTTGAAAGAAAAGAGTAAGATTTTATTGTACAGCAACATAACTTTGCTGAAAGAATTGATTTTATAATAAAAATACGAATTTTTCAGCTTTAATTGTGATTAACTCTATAAATTCTCATGCAATTTATACTTCATATAGACCAATCGATTCATATTGATGCAAAGAATAAGATTTTATTAAGGGAGAGTGGGTCAAACCGGACCGGAGGGTAAACCGGACCCCTCTCAATATTTCCAAAATGGCGAAATTGGAAAAAGTGTTGTTTACAAATTTAAAACAACCGTGTTTAGCATACCTTATTTTCTCAATCTGACAGTTTTAGCTTGCGTATGTGCGACGAAGGGAGCAAAAGTTTTTTTTTAGTTTTTTTCTACACTTTTACGAATTTTTTCTTAAGGAAATTCTGAGAAAATCGTGTAATGTTTTTAAATATTAGGTCTTAGGTTTTGAAGGTACAAACCTCAGGAATATTTACCACCAAAAACTTTGATGAATTTGCAAAGCGTTTCTTTTTGACAAACATTTATTCTCAAAATGGGCCTGTGGGGCAAACCGGACCGTTTTCGGTGGGGCAAACCGGCCATAGGATATTTCCATTGAATTAAAGTTTCATAAAAATTATTTTAAAATAAAATGTTTCTTTCATTAAAATATTTACTTACAATGAAAAATAATTGTCTTCCAACGAGAATTGGACCCTTTAATATTGTTTCTCTGATAATGACAAACATTTTAATTTTTTTATTAAAAAAAATATTTATTTAATTAAAATTCAATCCCGTATTATTATTTTGCTTACTACAACCATTGTTTACATGATTCTTTATGTTTTTTATTATTGTAGATTATGTAAATGCAATATTATAAATAAAAAACCAAACGGTCCGGTTCGCCCATGTGGGGTCCGGTTTACTCCAGGGCACAGTGGGCCAGGATCGTCGATTTTTGACCAAAAATCATTATTTAAAAGAGAACAAGATATTTACGAATAACAAGTATGCTACCTACAGTTTCTGGGATCGCTAATTACGAATCTGAAGTCAGATTTCAAAAATTCAATATGGCGGATCCAATATGGCGGACATACATTTTTTTATATAAATCAATTTTAATGAAGCATAAATATCTAAAGGTTTTTTGGGTCGCTGATTATGAATCTGAAGTCAGATTTTAAAAAATTCAAAATGGCGGATCCAATATGGCGGACATAAAAATTTTAAAATTAATAAATTTGAATTAAACATAGGTATCCATGCGTTTTCTGAGTCGCTGATTACAAATCTGATGTCAGATTTCAAAAATTCAAAATGGCGGATCCAAAATGGCGGACATACAATTTTTAAAATTAATCGATTTTTATGAATCTTTGTATCTAGGGGTTTTTTAGGTCGCTGATTACGAATCTGATGTAAGAATTCAAGTGGATTTTAGATTGGGTGAGATTCGCCTACAATTTTTTGCATGGGAGTTTTTAAGTTTTGTGATTACAAAACTAGTGTCTATACAATTTAGAAAATAAATTTTTTTTCCTGTTATTAGCCTACAAAAATAGAAAGTACTGTAGTTTCCAGGATCTACTACGAGGAGGTTACAGGTAAAGATCCAATTTTGTATTTTTTTAGATTTTTAAAATTTTTTTAGTTTTTTTTAGACCTGATGTTTACTTATAGGTATATAGTTTATCGCGCGGGTATATCAGGTGCGCATGTAGTCCTATTGGAGAATCTGCTTTTGTTTCCATGGATCAGATAAACACTCCATTTCATATCTAAATCTGATTTCAGAAACAAAGTGCTCATTTTTACGTTTTTAAAATCTGACAACAGATTCGTAATCAGTAACCCAAAAAACCTCTACATACCTATGTCTAATTGAAATTGATTATTTAAAAATTTTTTATGGCCGCCATTTTGATTTCTTGAAATCTGACATCAGATTCGTAATCAGCGACCCAAAAAACCATAGAGTTATTAGCAAAGAGTGCGCAAGCGACCAAAATGTTAGACAGCCATACGAAAAGTAGACCCCTTTTCTTTCTTTCTCTAATAACGCATGCGCGATAGTGAAACAGCTGATGCATCGAAACAATTGTTGCTTGCTTGCTGGCAATTATATTTTTCTTTTATTTACGTGACAAATAAATAATTTAAAAACATTTTTAGCAGGAAAAATGGTATTTTATGTTAAGTTTACCTGCTTTTAATTTATGCTCATCGAAATAAGCAGCTCAAAATTAAAAATTCCAATTACTACAATATTATCGATACGACATCCAAACTAGAATCAAAAGTTGCGTCTCAACTTCAAATAACAGCCAAATAGCTTTTTTTCAACATGACTTTTTAATCCCACTCTACCCTATTTATTGTAAAATATTTATTTTACATTTAATTTTATTATATTTAAAACGATAAGATGTTTTCTAAAGTATCTTGCTGATTTTTAAGATGTTTTATACGTCTTAGATATTTCTTCTGTCTTAAGGGGTTATGACACTCTAGAAACCGAAAAAATAGGCATTTTTTGTGAATTTTTTTCAGAGAATTTATAAAGTCAATTAAAATTGGAATATGAGGAGTTTATTGTACATCTTTTGAAGTTTAAAAATATAAATTTTCATAATAATTTAATGAAAAATGGCGACGCTGTTGGGGTTTTCCGTCGACATCTCTGTGGCGCATATGGTCCGTGGCCGCACCAACTGTTTTTGTAAATTTTGAAATATCTTGAGTATATAATTTTTTATTTATAGTACATTACAATAGCTAAAGCAACACGTAGGATTTTTTCGATATATTGATTTATGGTCAAATGGCGCACTTCTAAAGTTAACCTTTCTAAATTCTACCAAAAAATCGTCAGTAAATTGTTAATAACAAATGAACAATACAAAATAAAAAAAAATCCTACGTGATGCCTTAAAAAATATATTTTCAAAGATGTTTGTGAAGTTTGAACTTAATCGGTTGAAAATTGTACGAGTTGTTAGTGCAACCAACTCGAAAAATGTAGTTTTTAGATAATCGCGTTTAAAGTTTAAAGTTGTAAAAAACATTCACATGCTTGGCTATGCCTAACTGACTGAAACAGACGCTTGCATACTGTTTGTGAAGCCAAATTGTGAAGAATAGACTATAGTTTAGACAGGTAAGTAGCGTCATTACAAACATCTACCTTATACCTGCTTTAGATCCTTCAAAGATCACCTCCCGTAGCGCGCTAACAAAAGGACCTCGCCGCTACGAAAATACGAAAATAAATTACTTAGAGATTTTCCCTAGCCGTAATACTACGATATGTTATTTCTGATACCCTAAGGGACTATTTAATGCAAAAAAAATCGATTTTTTTAAAATCCTAGAGTGGCATAGCCCCTTAAAAAAGTAATATACTTCTTTAAGTTTTTTAAAGTATCTTAAATTAAGATGTTTCTGTCTCAATAAGATGTTTAGCGATAAGATACTTGTGAATTGTAAGATGCGAAAAAAATTTAAGTTACTAAAAACTAAGATGCATAAAATGTCTTACATATAAGCCCATAGTTAACCTCAAAACTTTTTTCCAAAAAAATATGAAGAAAATGTGTACGAAGATAATTTTAACATCTTAAATTAAGATACTTCAAATAACTTAAAAATGACTACCAAAACATCTTAGAAATGACTACCAAAACATCTTAAATAAGATACTTCTTTTTGCAGTGTATGCAAAAAACCCATAGATACCTATGTTTAATTCAAATTTATTGATTTTAACATTTTTATGTCCGCCATATTGGATCCGCTATTTTGAATTTTTGAAATCTGACATCAGATTCGTAATCAGCGACACAAAAAACCATTAAATACCACTGTTCATCATAATTGATTAATTTTGAAAATTGTCTTTATATATTTATTGCATATATTTATATGTTTATTGCAATATTCTTGTTATGTTGAAAAAATATGAAATGGCGCAAAATGGCACATATTGGCGTCAAAGTAGACATGCTAAGTAATCGTTCTATATCTTGTTTTTCCAAATATTATGCGGCTCGGAGGAGCTCGACTAACTGAAAGTCGGCACTCTATTGAAAAATCCACTATTTGTAAACTTCAATGGAGCTACATTTTAATAAATTTTATTTTTTTAAAGTAACTATTGGTTTTTTACTTCAATATATCTATTGATGAGAAAAAATAAGTACTTATACAAAAATAATTAATTTATTTCTAGATATATTAAGTATTTCAATCAAAAACATTTTATTATTTTATCTCAAATGTTAAACTTTAAATAGTTCCAGAAGACACAATTTTTTATTATTTAACATATCCTTTATGCAATAAATTCCTTATTTACTATTAAATACTGTAGATAAATTCTTTTGTGCATATTTGAAAGTTAAAAAATTGCATTTTTGGCTAAAATTTGACGATCCTGGCCCACTGTGCAGGGGGTGGGGCAAACCGGACCGTTTGGAAAATTTTTTAAAGTTAACACAGCAACTAAACAAAAAAAGATAAAGTATAGGTTTCTCTGGGAAAAAGTTGCGCAATTAAATGATCTTTCAAACAAGCCATCGAAAAATGAAATCGGTTGATTCGTTTAGTCACAAGAGTAAAAAAACCGTTAGGGGATCCGGTTTGCCCCACTCTCCCCTATATATTAACTTTAATATTCGACTTAAAAAAAATATTTTCTGACTATTTTTCAAAGTCTATCAATCCATTTCGAGATATTTTTATGATAAATGTACCTAAAAATTTTTAGCCAAATTCAATGAAACCCTCTTCGAGTTATCGTGTTCACAAAAAACGGGATCCACACACACATACATACATCCGGACAATT